GCTCAACTGAGCTACCCAGGTGCCCCAACAATTAATTAAATGGTTTTTATATTTAGCATGCTGAATAACTATAAACCAATGATGCAGCTACATCATTGCACCACTAGATGGGGCACAGGTAATGTGAAATGTGCAGAGTAGTCTAAAGTGGAGAACACTGGTCACTCAAGAAAAAACAATGGAGAACAAAGACAGTGAGAAGTTAAGAACAGGTTATGATTGGATTTGGCTGTATCACATGGGCAAAACTGCCACAAAGCAAAAGCTCCAATGAGTGCTTCAACTGCCAATAAGATGAAGCTGTTTCAATTAGTGAACTACCTCCTTTTGATTCATTTCATAATTCAAAGTAGGTGGGCTTAGCTAGTATGGCAAAGAACACTAAACATAGAGTCAGGCGTTAGCTATGTTACATGCAAATTATTTGACTTTGTGCAACTTGCTTAAATTCCCCAGGCCTCAATTTCTTCATCTGTTAAAAAATGAAGTGCCTGAACTAATGATAATACCTAAGGGTGGCTTAGCAGGGACTTGGTTCCCTCATAATCTTTATTATTTCCCTAGCAATCCTAGAACATTCATTCACTGTTAGGAAAATTGCAGCTTTAAGGCACATCTATCCATATCTAACTTCCTTTCCAATCAGGAGAACTCAAATAAATGCAGTATCTTTGCATGGGTAGGTCACATACCTAGATGCATTAACTCCTACAAACTGTAATTAAATTGGATAATCACATATGAAATACTGTTTACATACACACTGTCATATTTGCCTGGTTGGAAACCACTGAGCAAACTGAATGAATGAATGATGAAAACTAATGTGAAGTGAACTGGAGATGTTGATTAAGTAGCATAGAACAGTAAAAATTAATTATAAAGTAGCAAGAAGTGGGGAAAGCCTATATAGATACTTCAAAGAATCTAAACTTACTGCCTCAGGGGGCGCCTGGGTGGAGCAGTCGGTTAAGCGTCCGACTTCAGCCAGGTCACGATCTCACAGTCCGGGAGTTCGAGCCCCGCGTCGGGCTCTGGGCTGATGGCTCAGAGCCTGGAGCCTGTTTCCGATTCTGTGTCTCCCTCTCTATCTGCCCCTCCCCCGTTCATGCTCTGTCTCTCTCTGTCCCAAAAATAAATAAACGTTGAAAAACAAAAAAAACAAAAAAAAAATAAAAAAAAATAAAAAAATAAACTTACTGCCTCATTTAACATAGTAACATATTTTCAGAAGAAAATAATTTAAAAGTATAATTGATCCAAATACACAAAGAAAATGATTGTTTTCTAATAAACAACTCTGTGTGTAACATTGCAGTATACCTTTTAACTCAGCAAAGTTTGCAAAGTCAGTATAACAATCTTTCTTCAAAATATGCCTTCAAAATAAATTTTTTTAACATTTATTCATTTTTGAGAGACAGAGAGAGCGAGCATGAGTGGGAGAGAGGCAGAGGGAGAGCGAGACACAGCATCCAAAGCAGGCTCCAGGCTCTGAGCTGTCAGCACAGAGCCTGACGCGGGGCTTGAACCCACGAACCGTGAGATCATGACCTGAGCTGAAGTTGGGTGCTCAACGGACTGAGCCACCCAGGCACCCCTCAAAATATGCCTTTTGAGTGACGCCTGGGTGGCTCACTCAGTTAAGCATCCAATTCTTGATTTTGGCTTAGGTCATGATCTCACAGTTCATGGGATTGAGCCTCGCATCAGGCTCTGCACTCACGGCTCGGAGCCTGCTTGGGATTCTCTCTCCCCCTCTCTCTCTCTCTGAAAATAAACTTAAAATAAATAAAGGCATTATTTTAAAATATGCCTTTTGAAGTCTATTAAATACCTGTCTAAAAATATCCCTTGCAAAATTCTTTATCTTTTATTTCCTAAAGTCTTGTGCTTATGTAAAAGTGAAAATTTCTAAATTATATGTGCTATGGACTATGTTTGTACCCCCATCCACATTCTCTTCTCCATTTATGTTACAAACTTTAGCCCCCAATGTGATGGAATTAGGAGGCGGGGCCTCTGGGGGGCCTTTGTCTTTGAATTTTCAACTAAGGACTTGTACTTTCATATAATCAGGAAAAATATTTATATTAACATCATTGCTTAAGTTATAAAGGAATACAGAGCCTGAAACAAAGATATTTGTATAAAAGTGTGATATTGCAAATTAATGAAATACATTAATCTGATTTCTAAGAAAATAGAGTCTGAAGATTTAAACTTTCTCAAAGGAGAAAAGTTGTTTCCCTGTACAAGTTCTCACTCTACTGGTGACACAGAGAATAAACTTATTCTGACATTTCTGAAGCACAGTAATTGCATTATTTTCCACAAGCACTAGAGGGCAGGGTTTTCACTATAAAACCCCGTTTCACCAATTATCATTGAATTATATGCGTTTTTTGGTATGTGGTTTCTGTTAATACGCAATCCCCTATCACTAAATTTATTATATGCCTTATCTGTATCAACACATGATAATATTAAATTACATTTTCAGTCATGGTCTTGATATATTTAATAGCTGATTTAGCATATATAAAATTACCTAATATACATGAGGAAAGGAATTTAAATATATACATATGTACATACAATGTATATTTCAAAACTGTGGTTTTTAGGACTGTGTTAACAAACATACCATCTAAGTCTCTAATCTGGCACTATCTCATATTAAAATTGAATGACTAATAACACTGAAAACTGAGGTCCATTGTTACTGGTTCTAGTTTAATAAAAAAAGCAAAGATACTTTTTAAGAAACTAAATGCTCTGAGCATTCCAGGTATTTCAGAGAACACTGAAATGCTTTTCTGTAACTCCAAAAGCTTCTATCATCTATGAGGCCTGTGAATTCTTGTATGGGTAAAAGAGAATCTGTGAGGGAAAATAGTATTTCAGGAAGAGAAAACAGTAAGAGTAAAGTCATGACATCTCAAAAGTACAGTTTATTCAGGGAATGCCAGGGTAATCTGATATATGGCTATAGAAAAGGGTGCACTGGAGAAATAGCTGAAGATAAAGTTGGAAAAGTAAGGAAGGATCATTCGAGGACAGACTGTTATGCTGTACTTGGGAGTTGGACATCATTTTGAAGGCAATGGGAAAGTCACTGAAGACTTTTAAGCAAGGGAAGAGCTGCAACAGAGATCTGTTTTTACAGAGGTAACAAAATACAGGACGAATATGAAGAGTGAAAGCTTGGAGTAGAGGAGACCAAGGAGTGAAGTGCACAGGCTAAGGCCTTAAAAAGGGCAAAAACACTGAGGGTGCAAAGACAAAGTATTCCAGTAACATTCCAAAAAACAGGAATGGCTAGACTTGGCAAAGGATAAATACAGTGAATACGGGTTTCAAGCCTTGATAACTGGATGGAGAGTGATGTCTTTAAGACAAGCTAGAGTGTAAGTAATTTTAAGTGCAAGGTGTTTTCTGATATCCAGGCTACAAGATCTACTAAATAGCTACAAATGTAAGGCTGAAAATCCAGAGGGAAGTGTGATATAAAGAAATAAAAGGCAAAAATAAGATGTTTTTTTGGTGGCTTATAAAAGGAGTCTCATTATATTATTGACATTAGATGCATACCTCTTATTACCAAGTAATTAATGTCATCAAGCATCAAGAATATGAATTTGAATTGAACACAGTATCACACAGGAAAATAAACTTTGCAAATGAATGGTAGTCACGTAAACTATGGGATGGCATTGCACTATTAGGAACAGCTTATTCAATTTAATTATTACTCATTATCCACTTTGAACACACACATACAAAATGTATTGCCAAGTATGATTTATGTTTCATGTACAGATACGGATTTATTAAGACATTTAAGATACACAAACAAATTTCATCTGAAGTAAAGCCACAAGTTTTAAAGACAGATTTATAAGACAGAAAAATATGAGCTTACTAATAAAGAAAGCTGGTAATAACAATTACTAATAAATATCATTAGTAAGGGCAGGAAGCTTAGTCAGTTAAGCATCTGACTTCAGCTCAGGTCATGATCTTATGGTGTGTGAGTCTGAGCCCCATGCTGGGCTGTGTGCTCTCAGCACAGAGCTTGGATCCTCTGTCCCCTTCTCTCTCTGTCCCTCCCCCACTCACGTTCTCTCAGTCTCTCTCTCTAAAATAAGCATTTAATAAATATCATTAGTATAAAACTTCCTATTTACAGAGTCTCTCAAATACATTTTATTTGATCTCTACAAACTGTCCATAAAGTAAACTGGTGCTGGTAGTTATAATAGCAACAATAACAACCATAATACTATGATAACACATGAATTTTAAACCAGAGTTTATTTTCTACTCTTCACCTTTTCCCCAACCCCTCAGTTTGTAGAATACACTAGACGTCTTAGAAACTCATATTTGGAAATTTATAGTATTTAATACCCGAGCTTTCTTGACATAAATCAACTAGATTAAAACTAGGTTAGAACTGAATTTTGTGAAAGTCTTTGAACTATAGAAAACACAGACCAAGGAAATCTAATATTGTTCCACTATGAAATGCACTTAATCTGATCTACACATTTAAATTGGGTGCCATAAATGCTTGGTAATTATTACAGAAAACTGAAATCTGGGGAAAAGTCCAATCCAACTTAAGTTGATATAAATCTGACCATTTATAGATGCATCTAGTAAAACTCTCACTATGCTGATATAAATTTAGCTTTCATAAACTGTTTAAATGAAATTCTAGCCCGAGAGGACAAACATCCATCAAAATTTCTTACTTCATAGATCAACTCTTGAATTTCATTTTTTAAAAAACCACTGCATTATCTAGGTAAGGAGTTTAAAAGAGTCTCCATTTATCTAAAGGCTGAGCCAATCTGGAAACTTTAAAGTCATTTATATTTTATAGAGACTGGGAACTCAACATGTTATCTTACAAATAAGCAGCCTCTTGCTTCTATATATTTTAGCATTTCAACAGGGTTGGAATGGGTTAAAAAAGAAACAGGAATACTTACTTGAACCTGGCAGGTGAAAGAGGAGTAGGAGGAAACATTCCCGGTTCAAAAGAGTCAAAATAAGTCACTGTCCAAGAAAAGCTACAACAGGAGAATCCGGCAGATAGAGAGATTATAAGTAGAGTCCAGAATCCTTAATGGGAAAAGAGGAAGAAAACTTTAATTATTAACAGCAAAGCAATTTAAATTAAACCAGTATCTTCATGTTCAGAAGATCATGTGTATTTCTGAACTTCTGAATTGCGTGTAGGTGATACAAGAGATTTGAGCTTAGTACAAGCTAAACCATGTAAAGTGTAAAATACTAAAGCACAATTAGAAGTCATATCATTCAATATTTAAATTATAATTGAATAAAATATGAAATAATTAAAAATGTAAATAATTTAATAGTTTGGTATTTCAATTATTTAATATGTGGAAAAGAGTACAAATTCAACTTAATATACCTTCAGTTTTACAAAATTGGACTACAGAAATAGTTAAAATACTTCACTGTTAAAATGTCTTGACATTTTTCATTTAACTCTATGAATCACAGCTTGCTATCTTTTATTACCTACAATAAGTGTTTCTTTTCTTTCCATACTATGCACTTTTGACGTAAGAATTTTACAGTGTATACTCTTTATACCTTTCCTATAAACATTATTAACCTAAGCTGATTCAATTTTCTCAGTATATGGACAAAAGTTAACTCACAATTTACAAATGAGTTGGGATCCTAAATTTTATTTTCAGAGGGGAAGACTGGAAGATTTTCTCAAAGAATTCTTAAGTCAAAAGCATGGTATTATCTTCAACTCAAGGAAGGGGGAAAAGGTTGAGAAATGGAAGAATGGGGGAAATGAACAAAGCAACAGTAGAGGGAATAAATTAATTTGAAGGTTTTTAGACACATACTCAAACTGCCTCCTTAAGAGAGTTTATTAAGCTACTACTACTGATTGTGTGTCCCGGGCTGTACCTACTGAGGTAGTAAAGGGAGGGAGGAAAGGCTGTGAAGACTATGGTTGAGAATGATATATGAACTACCAATTTCCTGGCTGCACAAAATGCACAACTAAGATGCCTTCTGGCAAGAAGCGGTTAAGAAATACATGTGCTGGACTGTTTATAAACCATACGAAGTCCGGTAACAGTCCAATAAAACTGCTAAAAGACAAACTCAGAGAAATGAAGTATTAAATAACTGTGGCAAAGTATTTTTGAAAGATTAACCTTAATCTTTTCTCATTAGTTCCCTTTCCTTTACCCCCCTTTTAAGGAGATAAGGAACTGTGTGTTCACCGCCACAGAAAGATGTGACAGAGAAACAGCCTCAGTGTCTCTTTGGTTTTTATGTTGCAAAATGATTCAGGGAACTAGGAGGATAAATATAAGCAAGAGGGTAGACAAACACAAAATGTCTTGGATAGACAGCAAAGATGAGTTGATCGGGTATAGACAAAACCTTTGTGTAGAACGGGGAGAAAGAGAGTGAGGGCTTTATGCACAGGTGAGGAAGACTCTCCTGGTTTGAAGAAAGTGGTGTGTGTGCATGTACGGACAGGAGATAGTACTGCTGGCACTTCCTGGCAGAGCCAGGAGGAGGCCACACACCACCACAGAGGGATTGTAGCTATATACAGCAGCTTGGCAGATGGATCCAGAGCCAAGCCTGCAGATGTCTCTCTCCTAAGTGGGGCACAGAAACAGCAGATGGTCATGTGGCTACAAAAGTGCTACATCTGAGGAGCACCTGGGTGGCTCAGTTGGTTAACTGTCCGACTTCGGCTCAGGTCATGAACTGGAGGTTTCCGAGTTAGAGCCCGGTGTTGGGCTCTGTGCTGACAGAACACAGCCTGGAGCCTGCTTCAGATTCTGTGTCTTCCTCTCTCTCTGTTCCTCCTCCGCTCACACTCACTCTCTCTCTCAAAAATAAATAATTAAAAAAAAAAAAAAAAAAAAAAAAAAGTGCTACATCTGAAAGGCCATCCTGACCAGAAAGCAAGATGCTTCTGCAGTAACTCATTTGAGCAAATGCTTTGAGGACTAGATTGCATCCCACCCCAACGTCCTGGCACAGTGTCAGACTTTAGAACCTTAACTGAACCTAGGACTGGGTAGACAGAACCTTAGCAAAGACTGAGGTACAATCTTCCTGCCAACCCAGTGAGATAGAAGACCAAAATAAAAATTATAAGATTACTTATAGCTGTACACACAGCTACAACTTAAGGATGGTTATTCTGCCAAATAGCTATTATTTGTTATTATTTAGATGAATACTGCTAAGGGGGATAAAACAACTGACAGGTTTACACTAAGTTTAACATCTTACAATACATAAAGTCTGCAGAACAAAGACAGTAATTATGAAAATTCAACTATCTGGGGACTGTTGTAGAATAATGGAAACTTCTAAATATCTAAAAAATGTGAGAACACAAAATAACAGGTAAAAAAGTAATAAAACGTGAGGCTCTCTAAAGCCCATCAAGCCTTTTCACTCAAGTGAAATAGAACACTCGTCAAAATTAATATAAGAATATTCTTCAGTTTTCAAAACTGACCACTATTCTACAACCTAAGTGCTTACCTCACCTTGCGTAGTTTTACTTTATATTCACTTTGAACGAATCAAGAGTTACATCACTCACAAAAGCCAATTCATAATGATATGCCTAAAAAAGTACATTGCAATATTATGGTCTACAAGTGCTTATACTTCAGAAAATGACTCAATTTGTTTATGAACAAGCAGAAAATCCACACAAGTTGGTAACTACACAACTAAATCTGCACCAAGTCCCTTCCTCTAGAACCCCTCATGCTAAAAACTTGACAACTAATGTTACGTAAACCCATTTTACCAAAAGTTAACATAATTTTTAAAAAGTACAAAAGCATATAAAAACTAAGTTAGAGTCTTCCTACCTCAATTCACCAATTCCACTCCTAAAAACAATCAGCTAAGTTGTGCATCTTTTCTAAGTTATAGTTTTCTACGTAATGTAAATATATATATATGGAGCTAGTTATGTACAATATACATGTAGATTCCATTTTCCACAAATAGGATTCTCACCAGAAAAGCTGTCCTGCACTTTGCTTTTCTCACATAACAATGTTGGAGACCTTTCATATCAGTACACATAGCTACAGTTCTATTACATATTTTTATTATTCCACTATTAAAAACTATGTTGCAAGTAATATCCTTAAACTACACAGTTATACAAGGATATCTCTAACAAATTTCCAAAGAACTGGTGTATCAAAGGATATAGGCCTTTAAATAAATACATACATCCTTTGTTCTTATCTATAGTTCAATTTTCATCAGTTGATGGAAATTCATCTTTCCACCAATTGAAACGTCTGGGCTTCAATGTTTTTACCTAAAGCAAAGATGGGGGTAGGTGGAAAATTCCTATCCCCATCTTTTTGCTGGAGTTTTATATTCACTTATCTCATGGTATATTTTGTTTTGGCTCACTTTTTAAAATAAATGATTTTGGCGTCAAAGTGCAGTTACTACTCTAAAAATATGCTGGCAGTTCTGTATTTCTATAAAAGCTGCCAACAAAGAAAGATTATTGTATGTTTTAAATATTTTATTTAGCACTTTCAGGCTTACAGGGATGAGGTGACTTTCAGAAGCTTTATGAAATCAGATATGTGAAGGCAATAGTTTGCACATTATAATGTAAACAGAAACAACTGGAAAAACAAACAAACAAAACACCTCCCGTGATCCGATATTGGGAAAAATTTATTAAAACACTGTTATGCAAATACATTCTTCATAAAAACTTATTTGTGCCATAAGCAAACAATGAATGAGTAAATGTCACAGCATTCTGATAATGTCCAAGTCCTATTTCAGAGCTTCCGACAATTTGAAAATTTTAGATAAAATTGTATACTATGAAATACTACAGTGCAGTAACAAAAAAGAATGAGGTAGAACTATATATAAAGATACAGATTAATCTCCAATACATTTTAATAAAGCTGCATGATTGCAATTATGTTCTTTCTATGACAATGACAAAATCACATTTTGAATGATCCTATACATATAAATGAATAGAAAAAGATCTGAAAAAATTTACAAGTACATTAGTGGGAATCTTTGCTTTAATTGTTGGAATTTCTTTCCAAGTGAGACTATATTATTTCTATAACTTATGAAATTAAAAATTAAAATTAGTATTTAGGTAATTTTAAAAACTGTAAAAATTACAGCTGGTTACTAATAAAACCTTAGATGTACTCATGCCTAAAATTAATCAACTATTTTTAAATGTTAAGGAAAGTTTTGCAACTTTATCAGATTCTATAGTTTTCTAACTTAGGAGGGCAAAAACATTTTAAATAATTTAGTATTTTCTCTAAAATTCAACACAGTCTACCGATAGCTCAAGTCTTCAAATCCCTTAACCAACGTGTGTCTCTGCATGTTAAGACAGAAAGCTAGATAGCCTTTGATCTTCAAACTTATTATTTCCAAATACAGGAGCAGATGAAAGCATTCTTTCCTCCCCTTCCAGTGCCACCTGATAAAGGTCTCTACCCAACTGCCTGTTCACCTGCAGCTCAGCATGTAGCAATTTCACTCCCATCCCTGCTGAAAAAGGCAAGGAAAGTGGAAGGAAACATTCTGAAGGATGAAGTGACAAAAACTTGAAAAATAAGTAATATCTGTAGTTTCCAACCATGTTAAATCATCCAATTCACATGGGAAACTTTTAGAAAACTTCTTTATCATGGACAATTTCAAACATACACAAAAGTAGAGGGAAAAGTACAATGCAACCCCACGGATTGACCACTCATCTTTATATAACTAACTCGTCATATCTTGTTAAACCTATATTACTCTTGGAGGCATATAATCTTTAGTATAATAGGCAAAATAGTTATTACTATCATCTAAGGTCCAAAATACCCTTTCCCTTATCTTTTTTTTCTTTCTTTCCTTATTTTAAGTCATTTGATGAACAATTTACAGATGACTAAAAAGACCATGAAAAAGCTTTGTTAGAAATTTTAATAAAATATAAATACAACAAATCCAAAGTTTCATTCTGAATTTCCTTGGTTTTAAAAATATACACCCTAGAAATGGCCATATACTCTTAAGTG